GGATAGAGTGTCGGCCTGCGGACTCAGGGTCCCAGGTTTGATTCCGGTCAAGGGCATGTACCTTGGTTGCAGGCACATACCCAGTGGGGAGTGTGCAGGAGGCAGCTGATCAATGTTTCTCTCTCATCAGTGTTTCCAATTCTCTATCCCTCTCCCTTCTTCTCTGTAAAAAAAATCAATAACATTTTTTTAAAAAAAAGAACTCAGATTATGGTTCACACAAGCCCTTTTTTCCTTTTAACTTTTTAACCTTTTTTAAAATAGAAAATGCCATGCACAAAAACAGAAAACAATGGATACTCATGAATAACAATTATTCAACCCCAGATTTCTTCTTTGCTTGTTACAGAACTTAAGAGTTTCACTGCTTGGGTGTTTTATTCAAGAATGAGAAGTGGTTGTCCCAAGGTAGTTTTTGTTTTGTTTTGGTTTTTTTTACTTGCAGCAAGTAAAGGAGACAGGGGATTTATAGCCAAAGCTCTGTCTCCCAGAAGGGAGGCTCAATCAATACTTATCTACACTAATAAAAGACAAAGATGCTAATTGACCATACCTTCGCTATGCCCACCAGCCAATCAGAAGAGTATGCAAATTAACCCAACAAAGATGGCCATTAAATTTGCATACTGCAGGTGGGGCGGACAGTGCCAGATGCCACCGGCAGGATCTGGGCGCAGATCGGGGACCGGGCCTGGGCAGGGGCTGAGCCGGGGATCAGTGTGAACTACAGAGGAAACACCTTTTCTGACCGTTCATTGGCTAAGCTCTCTGTATGCCACTGGTAATATTCTTAGTAACTTGGGTAATAAGAATCCAAGAAGATGATGTAGGGTTTTTCCATCTCACTCCTAGAGAAAAAAACAAAGGTCTGCTGCTGGAGTGGCTAAGCAATGTCATATCCTGCCCTAGCTGGTTTGGCTCAGTAGATAATGTCTCGGCCTGCCTACCACAGAGCCTGGGTTCAATTCTGACCAAGAGCATGTACCTAGGTTGTAGGCTCTTCCCTGGCTGAGGCCCAGGTCAGTGCTCATGCAGGAGGCAACCAATCAAAGTGTTCCTCTCACTTTGATGTTTCTGTCTTCCCCTTTCTCTTCCACATTCTCTAAAAATCAATGGAAACATATCCTCAGGTGAGGATAAAAAAATAATAAAGAAATGTCATATCCTATGAAAGACACATCTTGAAAATGCCTAAAGAAAGTTGTCATTTTTTCATGGTGAAGGGACTGGAGTCCGTGTTGATGAAAACACCTTGGTGGCTGCGGTGACTGGCAGTGGCTGCAGCAGTGGGGTGATGGGGCTGGTGCCTTCCCCTGATCAGCCCGGTCGCCTCCCACAAAGGGAGGCCAGACTGCAGCTTAGGCCGCTCCCCAAGGAGAGCAGGGAGCGGGCCTAAGCCATCAGTAGGACATCCCCTGAGGGCTTCCAGTATGTGAGAGGGGGCAGGCTGGGTTGAGGGACCCCCTCCCTGCAGTGCACGAATTTCGTGCACCAGGCTCCTAGTCCTATATAATAAAAGCCCAGCAACCAAATGGTGGGATGACCAGAATGACCATTTGACCAGTCACTATGATGTGCACTGACTATCAGGGGGCGGACACTCAACACAGGAGCTGCCCGCTGGTGGTCAGTGTGCTACCACAGTGGGAGTGCTGCTCGGCTGACCAGGATGAGCGGCTGCTCCTGCTGTGAACCCTGGGCCGATGAGCAGGAACCCAGGCTGCAATCATTGCCTCCTCATCCCAGGCTCCTCCGCCTCGCCCCCTGCCGCCTCCTCTGGACATCCGCAGGCCATGCAGTGCCGCAGCTGGGCTCACAGAGCTGACCCCGGAGGCTGGGAGGTGGGTTTGTGGCCACCGCGGGACTGAGTGCTATTGTCCCCTGCCTGGCCTGGAGAGGTGAAGAAGGAGCAGCCACTCAGAGGGTGGCTCCACAGCCACTCGGCCCACAGCAGGCGATCCCCACAGTCCACGCCCCTCACCAGAGCAGAATCCTGTGCACTGGGCCTCTAGTATTACACTATTTGGTCTACTATACATTGATTTCTTCTTTGTGGCTGGCTACGTTTAGTGGGTTGGGTTCCTGTGAAGCTCATCCTGTTTGCAGCTGGTTTCTCTTCTCTTCTATAATCCAATGGGAATCAGAGCTGAGAAGTCAAGTGGAACCAAAATGTAATGCTAGTGATTGTGCTTTGCCAATTGGAGAACTGGACTTTGGAGAATTAAGAATTATTTGGGGGAATTGGTAATGAAAGGATTCATCTTTGACTGAGACCCAGCAGGTCTAGTGGCCACAGGGTTCCCCTTCTCAGCTGGTCTGGGCTCAAATAGCTTCCTGAACCTCATAGAGACAGGCCTGGGCTCCTACAGGCTCTCATGGGCTCCCCTGGGGCGCTGTGCCCACTGTGTTCCAGACATGGGGCAAAAGACAAGTGGAACCTGGCCCTCCTCCTCAGGACTCAACATTGGGGGACACAGAAATAGGTATTTGCCTGGTGCCATGGGAGTGCCAGCTGCACAGGGTGGGGTAGTGTGGAAGGGACTGCACTAGGAGATGGCACCACTGTGAACCTGACAATATGTGAGCTCCTGGTTATGCAGTAAGTGAACCAAAGGAGCCACGCCTGCATTAATTTAGCAGATGCTACCGGAACACCAGTCTAGGCAGGGCGTGCTCCAATCAGAAGAGACTTGGTTGCAGCCCCATCGACAGTCGTCACAGAGACGCACACAGGAGTGACTGGTTAGTATAACTGTGGAAAAGAAGCATGGCCGTGAGTGTATGTGGTCGACCCATTCTGAGTGTGCGTGTTGGGGGGCAGTCAGGGACCTGAAGGATGGAAGAGTAGGAGCCGCCTGGACAAGGGTACTTTACGAGGGAGGATGGAGAGCATTCCAGACAGAAAAACAAAACAGCATGTGCAGACCCTGAGGCGGGCAGGAGCAGGCGTCAAGGGAAATGAAAAAGGTCCATGTCTGAGGCCGAGGGAAAGGGATGTTGTGAGGAGGTTTTTGTTTGCAATAGAAAGGCTGATACACAGTGGCTCAAAGGATGAGGAAACCGGATCCTCTCACCGCGCATGTGGCAGCTGCAAGATTGGTTCAGGGGCTGCGTAAAGGAAACCGGGACCCAGGTTCTTTCTGTATTTCTGCTCTGTCCTAACCAGCAAGTTGGCTTTTCCTTGGGCTCATTCCCCCTATGGTTAAAGTGGCTGCCACCGTTTCAAGCATCATTTCCAGTCATGAAAATGCACCGTGGAGCCTGGCCAGTGTGGCTCAGTTGATTTGAGCATCGTCCCTGCACCAAGGGTCATGGTTTGATTCCCAGTCAGGGCACATACCCAACTTGCAGGTTGGACTGCTTCTTCCGGTTTTGTTTATTTTTTTATTGTGAAAACCTTTCCCAGAAGCCCCCTGGCCCTCTAAAATCCGGATGAAGACAGATTGTTCAGCCAATTGGGACTTCTCCAGGAGTGACCAGAAAAGATGTGGGGGCTCCACCAGTCCAGCCCCACCCACCCCCCAGCTGGTCTCTCCTCCTGGCGATGCTGGGAGCAGCCCCTCCTGCCCAGGCGTCCCTTGAAGGGCCTGCTCTCAGGGCTGGATGACCAGTCGCGGCCCATCTGCAGACTAGAGGAAGCTTTTGGGGGGACAGCAACAGGAGCTAAGCACTAAGTGGGCTGGCAGGGGTGAGCGTGAGAGGTGCCTAGCCTGGGAGAAGGGACGGGTCTGAGCAGGGCGTCACCGACAGGCCGGCGGGAGGGGAGAGGATACCGACGGGAGCTCCCCGCTGGCGGCCACGGAAGCCCCCTCCCCCCCCTTAGCCGGCATCCCAAGGAAAGACGCGTTTCCACTCCGTCTCCCGGAACCGGGAAGCCGGTGTAATCAGGTCCAGAGGCGACTCCTCGGAGGAGGGGGCACCGCGGGGAAGGCGCGGCGGGCGGAGGGGAGGCAGGGGGAGGGGCGGCAGCCTGGCTGGGGGGAGGGTTGGGTGAAAGCGGCTCCGGGGCGGGGCCTTATCCCGTGGCAACTGTGAGTCACCACGGGCAGGGCGGGCCGGGCTGGTGTCACGCACGCGGACACGTGCGGGGGGAGGGAGAATGGTGGGGGACTACGCCCCGACAGACGGTGCAGGCCTCCGTCGGGCCAGAGGCGCAGACCGGGAAGACGCTGGAGCGGGGGCCGCGCCCCGCGAAGAACCGCGGTCCCAGGGGTGGGTCGTGGGCGGGCTCCTCCCGGCGGCCACGCCGAAAACAAGTCCACGGGCGGGGTTCCCGGGGTCCTCGCCTTCGGAGTGACTCACCGCCGGAGGAATCCGGCACACAAACACCCCGCGGGACCGGACAGGACGGGCGTGGGTGGTGAGGCCCAGAAGGCGAGGGACTCGGCATGGTCTGCGAGCTCCAGAGCCCAGATCTCCACAGGGCGCCGTGCCCAGGGACGCCCGGTGCCCAGGGATGCCCAGTGCCCAGGGATGCCAAGTGCCCAGGGATGCCCCTGTGCCCAAGGATGCCCCTGTGCCCAGGGATGCCCCTGTGCCCAGGGATGCCCGGTGCCCAAGGATGCCCCTGTGCCCAGGGATGCCCGGTGCCCAAGGATGCCCCTGTGCCCAAGGATGCCCCTGTGCCCAGGGATGCCCCTGTGCCCAGGGATGCCCCCTGCCCAGGGATGCCCTGTGCTGGGCGCTATGGGAGGGCAGTTCCGAGGCCTGGGCCCTGGGAGCGCCGCCTGCAGCCCAGAGCTGAGCCCCGGAAGACGGGGGCGGGGGAGCGGAGTGTCCCCCTCCTCAGGGGACGGGTTCCTGGAGGGGGCAGGACAGCTGCTGAACTGAGCAGGGGAGGGTGTGTGCCTAGACGGGACTGAGCTGGGGCTGTAGGGAGCATCGGATACAAGGGTGAGAGACCGCCAGCATGTGGCCGCATTTGGAATTGGGATGGGGGTGTGGGCTCTGCTCTGGACGGGCCTGGGCCAGCCTGGCGGAGGCAGGAAGTGGACACAGGCTCGGGGCACGTGCTTTAATGAGGCCTCATGCCGAGGGGCCGCCGCTGAGCAGAGCTCGGGCGGGAGGGTTACTCGGGGCTCCCTTTCGTCACTTCAGGAGACCTAACTTCTTCCCAAAACCTGAGAAGGTCTCCGAGGCTTGGGTAGCGGTCTTGTCCACGGTCTCCTGCGTAGTTTTAGCCACCTGGTCCATGGCTGGGGAAGGAAAGGAGAGGGAGGTGAGGGCAGGTGGGGAGCCAGGCCAGGCAGGGTCTCCTCCCAGGATGCAGTGTGGGCAGCGGGACTTCAGAGGGAAGGGTGTGCTGGGTCTGCGCACCCTCCTGCCCTCTGCCCAGCCCGCCCCCAGCGCCCAGACCTTTCTGTCCAGCCTCTGCTGCCTGATCCACCACTTGCTGGGCTGCTGCTCCCGTAGCAGTCACTGAAACAAAGAGATTTGCCTTTAGCCTCTGTTGAGGCCCATGGACCACAGGGACCCACCCTGCCACCACCCTCCATCTGTTCTCTGGAGCAGTCTGCCCTCCAGGCCCTAGGGACAGATGCCATCAAGGTAAATAAAGTTCCTTGGCCAAGGCCACCCAGCCAGTGAGGGGCATGAGCTGTTTCCATGCCTCTGGGGTGTTCTTGTTTATTTATAACTCTGGGCTCCTCCCCTCTGGTCTGCTTCCCATCCAATGGCCAGGATGGCTGACAGGAAGGTGGGCGGGGCCAGGCAGGGCAGGGCAGGGCTGGGCTGGGCTGGAGATGGCTCTGGGCTATGGCTGCTGCTGGGCCTGGTCCAGGAAGAACCCTGACTCCTTCAAGAGCCCCTCAGACGCCTGGGTTCCCACCTTTAGTGCACCCTTAGTTCATCACGGCCTGCCTCTCCTTCCTCAAGGCCCCCTCCCCACCTCTTTTCCTGTGCCTCGACCCAGAGGGCACACGGTGACGATGCCAATGCTGCCCCGGGCAGGCAGCTTAAGGCAAAGTGCAGACGGGAGGTAAACTTCCCCGGTCAGGCCCTCTTCTATGAACCAGAGTCTGTGCCTGTGGGGACCTGTGTTTCCAGGGCCTTTGATGGGCAGACATTGGCTCCCGGCCCCCAGAGATCTGGCTCCTCCTTGCTCTGAACAGGAAAGGGCTTGCCTTACCCACACCTGGGGTCTGGTCTGACATAGCCAGGACCCAAAGGAGGAGCCTTTGCACCCAGCTTGCAGGTAGAGTGGGGTCCAGAGGGGGGCCCTGCAGAAAGAGGCTTCCTAGTGGCAGCAAGCGCGGCTGCCCCTGGGGCACGGGTGGGAGGGTGGGCGCGGGTGTGTCTGTTGACTGACATGTGCAGGAGGATTGGAGCCGGAGCCCGGAGCCGGGGTCCCAGGGAAGATGAGCTGACACTGGTGGCCCTGTCCCTTCACATGCCTTCTCCCCACCCTCCCTGGCTGTGACCTCAGTCAGAGGGGTCAAGAGCTGCAGCAGAGCAACGAAGGCTGGGCACCTGCTCTGCTGGGTGAGGTGGGGAGGCCCTCTGGCTGGATGTGAAAACAACTCTTTTTCAGGGGGAGGAAAACTCAAAACAAAGCGCGCAGTGGGGTCTGGCGCCGCCACCCCATCCGGTCCTGTGTGCTGAGCCCGGTGAGCAGAGGCCAGTCTCAGGGAGGCAGGGTGCATGCTCACCCTCCCCCAAGGACCCTGAGGGGCCTCCCCTGATTGGCTCTAGCGACCCCCAAGTGCAGCCCGGGCTCCGCACCGCTGTCCCCCACCCCCTCCACGCCCCCCCCCCCCATCCCCACACACCCAGGATCGTCTCGTCTCCCGGCTGGTCGGGGTGGGCGTCCTGCCAGTCCCCGCTTCTTAGGGGAGGGCAGGCTTCGAGCCTGAGCCTCCTGCCAACTTTCCCTCTGGGGCTGCACCCTGCTCCGAGCGCCCAGCGCCTCCTCACCTGCCTCCTGCGCCGTCCCCTCCACTTGCTGCTTCAGGTCTTGCCAGCCCTTGCCGGCCATGGCTGCGGATCTGCGAGGTCGTCGGGTGGCGGAGGACGTTTGGTCTAGCGGGCGGCTGCGACTGTGGTTTTTAAAAGGAGCCGCAGGGCGGGGACGGGCCCGCCCGCATCGGGAGGGGCGGGGCGGGGCGGGGCGGGGCGGTTCCCAGCGCCCGGGCGGGAGGAGTGACCCGGCCCCTCCAGGCTCCGCCGCCCGGGAGCGCAGCCTGGCCCCGACCAAGGTGGCGAGGGGAGCAGGAACTGCGGGGGACGGGGCCAGGGGCCAGGGCGGGTCTGCGGGCAGGAGGGGCGCACACACCTGCGCACCAGCGGCCTGCCCTCTCCCTCACCGCCCAGGGGCTCCCTCCACCCGTGCGCGGGGCCAGCGCCGGCTCAGGAGCTCAAGAAATTAACAACAGCAGCTGCTTTTGCTGGCGTTTACCTCGTGCCGGGCGCGTCGGGCCGCTTTCTAACCTTTACAGCCTCGTGAAATGGGTGTTGCCAGTTTATGGGAAGAAGCGGCGGCGCTGAGAGGCGGGGAGAGCCGGCCCGGGCCGAGAGTGAGTCACCGCCCCGCGCCCCCGGGACAGCGGCGCGTGGGGAGGGGCCAGGATCCTCCGGGCTGCACGTCGGCGCTCGAGGCACATCCTCCCCGCATTGAAGGGCGAAGGGCGCAGGGCGAAAGGCGAAGGGCGGGCCCCCACCCCACCCCGCCTCGCCCATTAGGAGCCTGGAGGCCACCGCTGCCCACCCAGAGTCTCTGCGGGCCCCCGACCCTCTCCAGGCCCGTCAGCTCCCCCGTGGGCGTCCCCCCATCCTGAAGCTCCGGGAGGCCCCACCTACCCAGGTCCCCCGAGAGCCCACGCCCGCCCTGTCATGGGGGCGGGGCAGGAAGGGGGGCGGGGAGGGTCAGTCCCGGGTGTGAGGTATGGAAGCCGGACACACACACTCCGCGGAAGGGGTGATGGAGAAGAGGGCAACCCCGGGCACGAGGAAGGGGCCTGCGCCGAGCTGGGTGGGGGCCGTGAGCCTGGCCCGGCTCACAGGCTCTGCGGAGCCGTTGGAGGCGGACTGGGGGACTGGCACCATCCTGGTCCGGCCGGGCCGCCAGCCCTCGGAGCGCCCCCGAAGCGCCAGGCCCGTGAGCCCGACGTCCAGGCAGCTCGCGGGGCTGCTGCGGCCACGGCCCAGGCCTGAGCAGAGGGCAGCGGCCTCGGAGTGGCCGGAAGCAGCAGCCCGAGTGCAGCCGTCTCGGCGCAGCCACCCCAGGGCATCCTGTCCTCTCGCTCCCGGGGCGCCGTGAGGACGAAATAGGCTGACGGCGCCCCAGACTCAGCCAGGGCCCGGGCGCAGGGCCAGGGCGCGGCGCTCTCTCCCAGGAGGCGGCCCAGGGAGAGGCGGTTCATCTCCCAGGAAGCCGCGGGGTTCCCAGCGCCCTCGGCCAGGAGCAGCCTGGGGATGTGCGTGGGGTGGAGCCCGCAGACGGAGCCCACAGCGCCACCTTCTCCGCAGCCCGGAGAGCGCGTGGTGAGCGCTGTCCCCGAGGCCAGGCCTCCGCGCCCCTCCGCAGTCACCTGAGTGGGCTAGCTCCTCACTTGCTCCTACAGCCCAAAAGCACCGCGCACCGGCCCACCTGGGCCCTGCTGCCTCCTCCTGACCTGCGCAGACCTGCTGAGTGCACATGTCTGGGCCGGCCTGGGAGCCTTCTAGACCCTTCCCTCCGCCCATGGCGGACTAGCAGGCCCCTGCCCCCTCTGCCTCCTCAGCAGTGGGTGTCCATGCCCAGCATTGGACATGGACCAGTTAGCACCCAGCTCAGCTCTGCTTGCTGGGTTTCCAGCCCCCAGGAGTGCCCTGTCCCCTGCTCCCCAGCACGGAGGCAGGATGGGAAGGTGGTGTGGACTCATCCCTGCCCGCCAGCACCAGGGCTGGAGGCCTGGGGCAAGTCACTTGCATGCTCTGAGCCCAAACTGTCTGGGTGTGAAAGGGAGGGAACCCCTAGTCTCTGCTCAGCCACCTCTGAGCAAGCCTCCAGGCTGTGATGCCCACAGCACTTCCAGGAGGACAGCGACCAGCCTGTACTGGGAGTGGGGGCATCTCCACAAGCTCCCTGGGGCCCACACTGTCCCGTGGCCGCAGCAGAGCTTGGGAGTCGTTAGAGAAAACCACAGACCCCAAATGGTGTCACTTGTGCCAAAAGTCCATGACACCAAACCTCGATTTAAGACCTGATCTAACTGCAGTTTCAACCTCTCCCAGAAACATAATGGTAATCAGCCAATCTGGAATGAATCTCCTAATAAAGTCAATTAGCTATTGCTTGAATTTTGTTTTTTTTTACAGTTAACGGAGTGGTTCTGCAGGGAGGCCACCTGGGCTCCACTCAGCCCCACACTTCCTAGCTGTGTGCCCTTGGGCAAGTTATTCAACCTCTCTGTTCTTCAGTTCATTCTCGGTGAAACTGGGACCAGACCAGTTGCTTGTTCCGAGGACTGAGTGAGGTAAAGCTCTCAGGACTCTGCGGCTTTCTCTCCAGGGGGCTCATGCCTGTGCATCTCTGCTGCTGTGTTTCCTAATGACCCTGGATACGCTCCTTTTCCCCGGGAGACGGGAGCTGGTGCTGGGGGCTGCTGGAGAGCCCGGCGGGCGGTGTCCTCTGTGAGGAGGAGGATGAAAGACGCCTGGCTAAGGGTTTAGGCTGCACATTTTGAAAGTTATCACCTACTCCAGGCAGGGGTGTTCGGAGTCCCTTTCTCCAAAGGACACTGGAGCCCAACACTGGCAGGATGGCCCGGAGCCGTCCCCGAGGCTGAGCTAAAGCTCAGGCCTGGAGGCCTGTCCTGGGAGCCCAAAGCAGGGCCACCTCCTCCAGGCAAAGGCCATGATGGATGGGTTGGGGTCAGAGGAATTCCCTAAAGGCAGTACCTGCCGTCAGCAGGTTCCATAAATGCCCAGGGTGTCCCTGTAAGGCACCTGGTCCCAGGTCAGCAGGTTGGCCTGGCTTCCTTCCCAAGGAGGCCTGAGGGCTTCTTCATGAAGGAGGCAGCATACGGAGGCAGCATGGGCAAGTAGGGCCAGGTGTGGGGACTTGAGTTTTATTTGAAATCATTAAAAAGAATTCACAGCAGCATCTGTGGGGTTAGAAGGACAGAGGCTGGGAGGGTGAGGGAGAGATGAAGGTGGTGTAGCTTGGGAAGACGGGCCTGGGCTGCCAGGAAGCAAGGGCCACCCCAAGGTCACGCTCCAGGACTGACTAGCATGCAGTGGCCGGAGGGGCTGGGCTCCACGCAGAGGGGGTTGCTCTCGGCCTCTGCAGCGGACTTGTAGCCCTCTAGTCTCCCCAACTCTTGGCCTAGGAGAGAGAGAGTGACCTTCACACAGCCCTGAGGGGGCAGGGACAGGAGTCATATCTACCCCTCTGCCCTGAGGGCTCTGATACCCCAGGGGGGAAGCAGTGAGCCTGTGAGGGATGGGGGTCCCTGCTCAGGGCCCCAGGTATAGCTCAGTGGCCCAGCTCCTACCTCCTCTACCGCTTCCTCTTTGACTGCCTCATCCTCCTGGGGCGGGGCAGGTGGCTTCAGCTCCTCCTGTGGGGAGAGAAGGGGCATGGTACCTGGTGGAGGCGCAGAGCCTGGCTGCCTGCCTCCAGGCCCCAGCCTCCCTGGCCTCAAAGGTGAGCAGAGGCCCTAAGCACCCGCTGCACACGATGGGCCAAGGTAAGGGCGTGTGAGGGCCAGACAGACTGGGCGCGATGATCATGTAAGGGCCACAGGGAGGGCTCTGTCTGATGGTGCCATGGCCTTCAGGGTCCCAAACACCTTGGAGCCTCTGCTTGATGCTGAGTCCCTGTGCAGCCCCTGGCTGGACCTCCCTGAGGAGCCTGGTGGGTGGGGTAGGTGGAGGTGGGCAGTGGCCCCTGAAGCCCCAGGCCTCACCCCACCCTCAGTGTCCCTGAATCACATGATCACACACCCTTGTCCTCCTGAGTCCCCAGAAAGCACTAGGAGAAGGGACATAGCATCAGTCACTGCACTGTTCACACGGGTACCCTGAGGCCAGGGAGCCAGGCATCCAGCTTGAGGCCTGACAGCTCAAAGCAGTGGGGCTGCAGGCATCAGGTGGGGCTTGCTCCAGGCCCTCTCCATCCCCAGGAGCATGAGTGCCTCCTCTTTCCTTCTCCCTGCCCCCTGGACGCCAGCTCCAGGCTCAGGCTGGTCTGGATTTATACTGTCCTCTCACTTCCTGTCTCCTACCCTACGCCCAGCTGGATACTTGCCTGAGGTGGAGGCTGGCCTAGGGGTGGTTGTGTGACAGCTGGTGGACAGGACCTGTACCTCTGAAGGGTGTCACCTCTGTGCCACCATCCTACCCCTTCGTGGACGGGGCATAAACCGGCACTGATGTCAGCCAGAGTCGGCACAGGCTCTCCTGGTGGAGGTGGGTGGCCACCTGCTTAGTCTTGCTGCCCAGAGCAGGGGCATGATCGGTGGCATGAGTGGCCAGACAGGTTGTGCTGCATCCTTCCGTGGTTCACTGGAGGGTGAGTCGTGACTGCCCTGAGGCGGCCTCCTCTACACCAGGGCCTGGGTGGCTCCAAGGGTCATTAGCCCTCCAAGGTGCGGGAGGAGGGCCCACCCAGAGCTCTTGTGTTGGGAGCCAGGGAAGGCCTGGTGTGTCCTGCAGCACATGGGGTCCCGCCCAGAGGTCACTGGCCTTTGTTGGGTGCCCACCGTGGCCTGTCCTCATGCTTCCTGGGGGCCATTCCCTGCACCGTCACACAGCCAGTAAGTCATGCTCTCACCCCTCCCGTTTTAAAGATGAGGAAATAGATGCCCTGGCCAGTGTGGCTCCGTTGGTTGGGCGTCATCCTGTGCACCAGAAGGTCATGGGTTCGAATCCCAGTCAGAGCACATGCGCGGGTTTCAGGTTCCATCGCCCAGTGGGGGCATGTATGGGAGGCAGCTGGTTGATGACTTTTCTCTCTCCCTACCCCTCTCCCCCTCTCAAAACAAAACAAAACAAAACAAATCAGTAAAGCATAACCTCAGGTGAGGATTTAAAAAATAATGAGGAAATGGAGGCCCAGGAAGGTTGAGGAGCCTCCCAAGTCGTGGAGCTAGGACGGGGCAGAGCTGGGACCTGGAGAGGGGGCTGTCTCTGCAAGGCCCGAGCCCCTGCACACCCCTCCCGGAGCAGGGCTGGGAGCAGGGCTGGGAGCCGGCCCTGCAGCCTGCCCCGTGAGGGAGCTTTGCAGAGGATGGGACACGCTCTGTAGGGAGCACCTCCTGCCCGCAACGGATCCTGCTCCTGCCACTCTCCGCCGCTGTCTGCCAGAGCACAGGCTTGGAGCCGGAGGCCCTGGGCCTGCAGGCTCACCCAGACTAGCTATGGGGCGTGGGCACGGCACAGCCTCTCGGCCTCATCTGCACACCTGCATGGCGCTTTGTGCCGCTGAAGGAGTGAATGTGTGTCAGATGCTTCACGCAGAGCCTGCCCTGGGTGAGTGGGATGTTTCACCCACCAGCCCCGCCTCGGGGAGTGCCCGTTGTTCCGGTGCGCTCTGCCGGGGCAGCACACAGACACACACGTGCACACTTCACACACACTCTCTGGGGCACACTCCACAGCACACAAAGGCAGAGCAGGAGGGCGGGTTCAAACTAGTCTCCACCACCAGGGGGTGCTGCTTCCCAGCTCCTGGAGGAGGAGGAGGGGCTGCCGGCAGGGGCCAGGAAAGCCTGGCCACTGGCTGCCTGTCACCACCTGGGGCCACAGGCCCCGCGGTCACTGGTCAAGCGTGGTTCACCCTGAAGGCCGGCACCACTCAGAGCGCGTGGCTTTGAGACTCGCTTTCCCTTTGGGCCTCACACTGCCCCCTCACAGGGGTGGTGTGAGGATTCCCCATGAGTCTAGCAGACACCCTTGCCCTAGGCCTCTGGTTCCCTGAATGTCACGGGTGATCATGTCTCCCCCCAGCTGGCCTCTCTGGGGCCCAGAGGAGAGGACGGGGCTCTGAGGACCAGAGCTGGGCCAGGCCTCACCTTGCGCACCACTCCCGAGGTGACCGCGATGTTCTCCGCCTCCTCCACGGTCTTGGTGGCCACGGTGTTGACGCTGCTGACCACCGCTTCACTCACAGCATTGGCCTGCTCCTTGGTCTTCTCAGCCACTGTGGGAGGACTCTGGCTGGCGGTGGCCCTGACCCCTCCCACCAGGGCAGCCTGCCCCAGGCAGGCCTGAGCACCCCTTTCCCAGGGCACTCAAGCCTCTGGTTCTACCCAAGAGCGGAGGCTGCCCCTTCCCGGTGCCAGGGGGGCTCTGATGACTGGGAGGCCAACCCTGGGTTCTGAGGGGTCTGGGTCTGTGTACAGCTCAGGACCCCAGTTGGGAGTAAGGAGGACCCTGAGCTTGGGCCTTTAGTACCAGGGTGCAGAAGTCCCTGGAGGTCCCAGCCCCGTCATCCCCTAGTCCTGGGGCTCCTCACCTGAGGTCACGCTCTGCACGACACCCTCCTTGGTCTTGGCTCCTGGAGAGGAAATGGAGGCATCAGCCCAGACCCACTCCTCCTAGTGTTGGGGGTGCAGCTGTCAGGGCAACAGAACGGCCGGACAAGCTGTGGGGTCAGTAGTGGGTGAGGACGGTGTCGAGACCAGCAGTCCCTTTAAAGGCTGCTTCCTGCTGTGTCTGGGGGAGGGGTCAGATGGGAGTGGACAGGACAGGATGGCGGATGAGAGAGACCAGGCCTGAGGGGGGTCTGGGCCCTGCCTGGGTGTGGCCCGGGCCTGGGAAGCTGCAGCAGGACCGGCTGCTGACCGGAGCTGAGTCATCAGCTCTGCCTCCTCTTCCGTGGAGGGAGTGAGGAGAGGGGGGCTGGGTCTTTGCTCCTCAGTCCCACCCCTTCCTCTGAGGAGGTGGAGGCCTGTGGCAGGGTCTCGGGCTCCGTGTGGCTTCTTCCTGAGCCCAAGGGCCCGTGCGATGAGGAGCAGGGGCTTGTGTCCGTGCACGTGCGCACAAACAGGTGTGTCTCAGAGCTGTGCACCCCTCTTGCTGTCCTGACCCAGAGGCTCCTGGGGCCCCGAGGAAGACCAAATGGACCCTGGGGTGGCAGGAGAGGGGGTGCTTCAGGGCCCGGAGACCTGATGCGACAGCCAGGTCCTCATCCTCTCAGTAACCGGGCATCCCAGGCTCCAGCCCCCGAGCAGCTCCGCCCAAACTCACCCACATACATGACACCCTCCTTGGTCTTCTCAGCCGCTTCCGTCACCCCCTGCTTGGTCTTCTCCACGGCACCCACCACGCCCTCCTTGGCGATGGAGAAGCCCTTCTTGAAGACGTCCATGGTGGTGGCAGGAACAGAGCCGGCTCTGCCGCAGGCTGTGCTGGAGCTGGCAGTGCTGCCGCAGCCGCTGTCCCCGCTGCCGCTGCCTCTTATTGACGCCGATGAAATATTGATGATGCAGCCGCTGGCCTATGGAAGCCCAGCCAGTCTAGGGGTGGGACAGGGGGGAGGGAGAGTACGAGGGCGGGAGGGAGGGAGGGAGGGAGGGAAGGAAGGAGGGAGGGAGGGAGAATAGAGGCTGGCAGCAGGGTCCAGGTCCCCTGGGTCCGGCTGGCTTCACCTCCTTTCCTGCCCTGCCTTCCCCAGGGGCTGCAGCCGTCTGGATGCATCCTTAGCCATCACTGCCTTTCATTCCCTCGTGGCCCTAACCCTGCAGGGCCACTCTGGCCAGGTGCCCCCAGGCCGGGGCTGCTGTGTCTGTGACACCTGGGCCATGAGGGAGGAGCCTGTGCTCCCAGCACCCAGGTAGGCCTGTCAGGCAAGAGTGGCCAACCTTCCAGACCGGCCGGGGCTGCCCAGCCACTCACAGGGAGCCCCATCCTGCTGTGCACAGTTACGTGGAGGAGCTGGGATGGGGCCCACGAAGGCTTGTCCATGCCCTGGCCTCTGGTGACACACTGTGGCCCTCAGAGCCTCTCCCCACCTGCTGGCTCCCCAGGGTGACAGGCGCTGAGCAGGGGTGAAGTTACCCACGGCCTCTTGTAGCCCCACCTCGACCTGTGCTCTCCTGACTCCATGGGACATGGCGAGTGGGGACACCTCCTTGTGCAGCAGGAATGGCACCAGGTCGGGTCCGATGGGACCTGGGTTTGGCAACCTCGGTACTTGAGTTTGGGCTAGGAAAGAATTCAGAGCCAAGGCCCAAACTATAAGAGGACATTTATTTATAAAATCACAGAAGTGGAAGAAGTAATTCGTAGACGAAATGGGCTTAAGAAATGAGTTATAGAGGCAACGGAAGGGCCCTTGGAGCTTGGGAGTGAGGAAGGCAGAGGCGAAGAGGGGGAGGAAGAAGAGGGGAAAGGCTCTCGCTGCTCCCAGGAGGGAGGGAGAGGCGCTGGGCCCGCCATCCGAGGGGCTCTAAGGGTGAGATTTTAGGAAAGGTCCCAGGGGAAGGTCTCAGGGGGGAATGTCTCAATAGAAGATCCAGCAGCTTTCCAGACGTGTCCTTTCAGCCTAAGTCTCCGCTGACGGGTCGCTATCCAGCTGGTCCTGAGGGCAGCCTTGCTGTCACTTGTCTGGTTTTGCTGCCTCTCTGGGCCTGGAGCTGAAACACAACTGAGACCTGGGTGTTACCTCCAGCGAGGACAGGTCACCGCATGCCAGGGAGGACAGGTCACCCTGGGGCGAGTCCCCCTACATTTGTCCTTTGCTGGTACCCAGGGTTCCCGCCTGGTGACCTGTACCTGGCCCATCGTCCTTGCTCTGCTCCTGTCTGTAACTGTCTACCACGCGTGGGCCTCCCAAACCTCAGGGTCCCTGACACAAGCCCTCTCAGGCCGGGAACCAGCTGGGCTGTTGACTGCCTCTGGCGGGGGGTGGGGAGTGTGTGTGTGTGTGTGTGTGTGTGTGTGTGGCTGGACCAGATGCACCGGTGGGCCGGCCTAGGCCACTTCCTTTCTTTGTTGTCCCAGCCTTCTCTTCCTTCTGAGCCTTCACTTGAAGCAGTTTCTGGAATCACCGGCAACGGCTGAGCCTGCCCACTGCCAAGATGATCCTGACACTGCTGCTCAGCCTCGGGGGGGCCCTGGGCTGGGGGCTGCTGGGGGCCTCGGCCCAGGCCCCTGGTCCCAAGTTCTCTGACCCACACAGCCCCCGGCTGCCTGGGGCCTGGATGTCAGAGGCTGAGGACATCGGCAGCGACCGACGGTAAGGAGGAGCCTGGGCTTGGGGGAGGCCCTGGGCCCAGCTCAACCAGAGCGGGGCTCTCTGGACCTCAGTGACTCACCTGTGAAATGGGCTAATGTGATCTATAGGCTGGGCAGTTGTGAGGCTGCATGAGGTGCCAGGATCCCTTCAAGAGGCCACCCCCGACCCCCGTGCCTGGACTGGGCACCCCAGGAAATTCCCTGTCTGACCTGTGGCAGGGAATGGGCCTGAGGGCTGGGAAAGCCTGGAGCACTCCTTGCCATCAACCGGCCAGCATGGGGTGCTGAGGGGCTGTGGTTCCGAATTTTCCAGCTGGCCTGGCAGTGGCACCTGTTCTTCGAAGTAAGTCAGTTCCGAAAGCTGAGCTGAGGTGAGGCTGGCCGTAAGCCATGAAGGACAGAAACTCCTGGGGATGGATTTTGATCTGAGTGCTGGGATGGCAGGGTGTCGGCCTGGCTCTGAGAACGAGCGATCCCAAAGGTGCCCGCTGCATTTGCAGAGCGGAAGGCGTGGCCCCTGGGGATGGCCCAGTGGTCTTGCCACTGGACCAGGACACTGTTTGCCAGCGTTTTACTTATCCAGGGCTAGGGATCCTCCCGCTGGGTGAGGGACCAGGTCCGTGGGTTCTTCCGAGGGTGCCCCATGGTCCGCACCAGGTGCTGCTGGCTGGCCGGGCACCTTGCCAAGTGTTATCTCAGTTCATCCTCCCAACAGCACCCGTTACAGAGGAGGCACCTGAGGCTCAGAGAGGCTGAGCAGCTGGCCCAAGATCACACAGCTCAGGAGAGCCTGAGCCAGGACCTGAGTCTGATTCTCAAGTTCATGCTCTGGTTCCGGGGTGCTCACAGGCAGCCCTGGCCCTCAGTTATGCCTACTCCCCCACTGGCAGCCCCCCAACCCGATTGAAGGATCTACATGGATTTGGAGAGTGAGAAGACCGAACTCACACCTCCCCAGTCTGCCGTCTGGCTGTCTGACTTCAGAATGGGTCTGCCTGGGACGCCGGCACAGCCCTGACTCTTCAAGGTCAATGCGTTTACTGGACACGTTCCCAAACGCAAATTTCATTAGGAAGAGGCCGGAGGGTGAGAGTAAGCGAGTGCACACTGACCCTCAGGAGGGAAGGGCTGGCCCCAAGATGGACCCGTGAGGCCCCATTCCTGTTCTGCCCCCAGCTCTGCTCAGGTCTGGGAGGCACAGGGGACGCTTGGGGAGCCCAAGCCCCAAAGCCATCAGCTCCGCGCCCGTCTCCTTTGACGAAAGGGAGCATGAAGGTCTCCTGGATGGGAGGAAGTAGGAGACGCTCCTCTTCTTCCCCTGCCCGGGGCTGTGAGAGGGTCGGCACTCCCTTAGTCCCGGGGCTGGGGGTGGGGGTGGGGGGGCGGCGGCTCTGGGCTGCTCAGGGCTGTCTTGCGGGGCTCGCTCAGCCATTGTGTGGGTGGCCCGGGTGTGTGCAGAGAGCGAGTGGGTGCGCACAGGGTACCTCGGCCGGGGAATTCCCAAGCAGGGTCCCAGCCCTAGTCCTAAGTGGCTCCTGGGGGTCCCCGCAGGCCTGGGGGGTCTCCTTCCCACAACCCAAAGCTGCGGTTCCCACCGCCAAGCCCAGGTCCTCACGGCCTCCGCAGGGGCTGGTGAGAAAGGAAGGAAACGCTGCACAGCTTCCTCCGCGGAGTGCTTCCCCTGCTCCTGGGAGGGGAGGGCCGCAACCCCCCCTCCTCGGCAGGAACCAGGAACGGGCGGGCCTCCTGCGATCAGGCAGGGCGCCCAGGCCAGGGCCCCGCCTGCTGCCAGGGCCAGGCTCCTGCCCCGCGTTTGCCCCTCATGCCGGGGTGCGAGCCCCGGGGCCAGGCCCTGGGCCAGACCCAGAAAATACCCTTTGCAAGAAGGTTGAACATGTCAACGTGTAGAGAATTATGATGAGTTTGAGCCGACCTGACAATAGCCAGGAAGGAAAACCTTAACACATTGAGAAAACGCTCCGGAGAATGCCAGCTTGCAGCTTGCTCTGTACATGAGAATGGAAGCCGGTGGGTCATATGAAACCCACTGGTGGTAGATTAGGGGGCGGGAGAAAGCCCAGCGGGAAACCCCTGGGACTGGGGAAAAGCACAGCAGACACTGCTTTCACACTGGTGGGCAAGGGTTTACACATTCACACTTACAGCGCCTAGAGGCAGGTGGGGGAACAAGATGACAATGAGGGCTCTGTGGTCTGTGCTCTGGTGTGGGGGTGCCCTGAGGGGTCAGGAAAAGGAGCGGGCCCTGACATTCCAAAGGAATGTTGTCTTAGAGCAAAAAGACGGCCGACAGGCCTGAGGTGGACACTGGCCTCTGGCAGGGAAGCTGGGGGCCTGGATGAAGTACCCCCGTGAAGGTTCATGCTCAGACCCTCCTGGGTGGTCACTTTCCATCTCTGACTTTGTAGCCGGCCTTCCCCGAGCTTGTCGGGTTTAGTACGTGTCCCATTTTTGTCCACAGAACAACTTGGTACCCCGTGCAGGTCCTGGGGAGGAGGGGGATGTGGTTGGTGCTTCCCAGTTCCCTGGGGACCCCAAGGAGCAGGGCTGGGTGAGCCAGCCACCTGGGTGTTGGCCTCCGTGAGAGAAGAGGCTCTTCTTGCTCCTTGGCCTTGGGGGGGGGGGGGGGCAGGTGGTCATGTGAGGTCCTCAGAGGAAGGGCTGAGCCTGCAAGGGGACAGCTGAGCCCCAGACCAGGTGCCCCATATCCACATGGTTGTGACAGCCCTGCAGCCGCCACTATTCTCTCCACTTTACATGTTGTGAGGCGCGGGGGGAGGGGGGGGGAGCAGGGGGGGGGGAGGATCCAGAGCCACCTGCTCCTAAGAGATAGGTCAGAGCTGGGCCCACATCTGCTGGGCTGCAGACCCCAGGTGACCTCTTCCTAGCTCTCCCCCTCCCCACCTCCTGGGAGCGGGGAGTGAAGACCTGCCACTCTCAGCCTTCGGCTGGCCCAGCCCCAGCAGCAGCCTGACCCCTCGCTCATGGAGCATCTGTGATTTTTGCAGCTGGACCTGAGCAGTCATGCATTTCACTGGGAGTCACACAGGATCAGGATGGAGCCCAGGCCTGCGACTGTACCCCCTGCACCCGGTCCTGCTGCTTGAGGCCCAGGGCCCTGGACATAGACAAGGAAGAGCCCCGGTGGGCAGAGTCCTGGGCAGAGAAGCCTGGCTCTGGGCGGATGCCATGGGCTCAGGCTCCTCTGCCAAGGCCTCTTTCTAGCTCAGA